TACGGTGTATTCCCCCTATAATGACTGTACGTTGTATTCGGGGGAAGAAGGTAGTGGGTGACATTGATTACTTCCAATTGGAAGGATGTACCTCCCCTCACCCCTGCCAAGTTAGCTATGCTGTCTTCTCCGTATTCCGGGACGGGTAGAACAGTGAATAGATATAGAGACGGGTAGGACTGAAATTGGATTTGATGCTGGATGGACTTGAGAGAGAATTCTAGGTTGGACTAGGACTAAACTGGAATTTGAGAGGGACCCAATAGCATTTTCCAGCATCTTGGGTAGGCCTAGAAAGGTTCGGTAATTTCCGAGTAGGTCATGAAGGCCCAGGGTCGAACGTAGGTAGATAACAGGTTATGTTCAGGCCCTGAAAGTCAATTGCAGGCTGCAATGATTCTCCTGCTGAAAGGCAGGAACATCCGCGATGTCCTAGTGCGCCGGTAGAGGCTGAGAGTGCCAGAGGCAGAGGCAGGCAGGAGAGTCATGAGTACGTCATTCGGTGCAACAAGTACGCAGCTAGTCAACTAGTCAACCAGCCGTTAAGCTGCTCCACCCTGAAGGCGAGTTAGGCAGAGCTCTGGGTTGGAGAAGGAGCTGAGGGTGAGGAAGAAGACCTCCATGGCTATGGAGGGATAGTAGTAGAAGAAAGTAGGCTACGGAGGTGGATGGAGAAGAACCTCAAGCTAGGCTATGAAGCTGGCAGGTGGAAGAGGCGAGTAGAGGTTGAGAAGGAGGAAGACGGAAGGAACCAGCAAGAGAGAATTAACTTTGGCTCTGAGGGACCTTCACCACATCCGGAAGGCCCTTGTTGGGTTACCGGTTGTACCTGGACTTCATCCGGGGCAGAATGAGAGGGGAGAGATATGTCCGCTGAACATTCGCGCTGCACATAGATGAGTCGGCATAGCACAAGTGGTTAAGAGGGACCCCCACTTTCCTGAAAATTTGGGGCTCTGCTAACTGCTTCTCCGGCATAGCTAGATATGTAACCTTGAGGATAGGAGTTAGAGCGAGGACTAAAGGAGAGGTGTTTGAGAGCTGGCAGTAAGCGGGTTTATTCGGACATTGATTCTTGTTCACTCATTCATTTATTACTGATCATCTATGTTAGGGAGTCGCCCAGCTGGGCGAGCCCGAGCCAGGTGGGCAAGGGGGGACTCGCCCGGGAAAACAGGGATGGTAAAAAAAGAGGCGAAGTCCAAAAACAGGCAAAGATCCCAAAAGAGAAAAACTCACTTCAGACCAGGACTACACTTGGGCACTACTATTTTCATTCCCTGCGGGTTATGGAACGAAGTCGATAGCCACAGATTCCTCTATATGAGGCCACTAGAAATCAGAGTCTCGAGCACAACCCCTTTATATCCGCAGGGCCTTCAGGAATACGAAGGGGTCTTAGCAAACCGAGGGATTGTTACTGATGGGTCTTGTTGCCTTCAGACTTGACAACTTGCCACGAACTCACATGCGCATTCCTCGTACGAGGTCACGAGAAATCCGAGTCTCGAACGCAACCCGTCCAGCGCTCCACTTCATCTCACCTGAGTTCAAGGGCCTAATCCCTGAGCACAAGGATGTATTCCTCACTCCTTTCCCTTTTGGCTTCCGCTCGACTATGGGGTGTCCCATGCGATTAAGTTGGAGCCAGGTCATGTACCGCCATCACGACGACCATGCAGATCGAGGAGCTTAAAGCAACAACTCACCGATTTGATAGCACATGGGTTCATCCAGCCAAACTACTCACCCTTTGGTACCAGCGTTCTTTTCGTGAAAAGGAACAATGGTACGTTGCATTTGTGCATTGACTTCTGAGGCCTTATATCAAGTTATATGCCATCACCATCAACAGTCGATATCCTCTCCCCAGTATAGCTGAGCTTTTTAATCGACAACATGAAGCACTCATTTTTCAAAGAATAACCTGCGTAACCTCTACCACCAACACCGGATTGCAAGGCGGGCATCGAGAAGACTGCCTTCAGGTAACTCTTTGGCCATTTCAAGTTTTTGGTGATATCATTCATATGGGCTCATCAATGCCCCTGTGACATTTATCTTTCATCCGCTCTTGGTCTTCAACAATATTTTTCAGGAACACTTGAATCATCTCTTGCACTTTCTCCAGATCTTGTGGAACAGTGTTTAAACGCCAAGCTAACGAAATGCCAAGCTAACGAAATGCGAGCTTGTGCGTGAGTCAATCTATTACTTTGGCCACATCATGTCTTCATGTGATATTCATATGACACAATCGTAAGATACTTGTAACTCGGGATTGGCTTGCTCCCATGGATGCCTTTGAGCCACATTGCTTTATGCACTTGTCAGTGTTACGGGCGTTTGGGTCCGGCCGAACAGTTCACCCCAACCCCTCGACCATTTGGTTCCCCCTGGAGACATGTTCGGGTTCCGCCCAACGAATTGTTTTGTGTTGTTTTCCTCTTAACTTCTGACCACCAGTTGATTGATTGACTGAATGATTGATCATTCATGGATTATTTGATAGGGAAAAAAGACAAATGAAAACAAACTCTCTCTCTCTCAAACACTCCCCTTCTCTCTCTCTCTCTCTCTCTCTCTCTCTCACACACACACACACACACACACACACACACACACATTCCCTCACACACACACACTTGCACACAGAAATACAAACACATTATTTTTTTTAAAGAAAAATAACAGCAAAAGTGAAAAGGAAAAAAAAAAACAAAATAGTAAGCAGGCGAGCATATTTTTTACACCACCATCTTTGGTGATTTTTCATTTTTTTGGCCAAATGCCTGCAAATTTATGGGTATGTACTATGTACCTCAAATTACAAAGAACTCACAAAAACAAAAAAAAAGGCCCGAAATATTTTTTGGCAGGGCACGAACTTCCCAAAGCCCTCCTCAGGTTCGGCCAGACCCCCGAACTTTCCGGGGGGGGTGTACACCCCCCGGAACATTCAGTTGCGTAACACTGGCAGTCACCAATTATAATATGCAACTTGTTGGGATTGTGCGCCTACTGCGGCGAGACCTCCTTATGTCCTGAGTCCTGACACATAAGGTGCTCACTTGGACTTGAGTATAAGAAACCCAGGAGACATTTGATGACCTCACGCAGGCACTGACCGCTGCGTTTGTACTTCACACAGCAGACCCATCCTGCCCTTACTTGCTCTTCACTGTGATGACGGGTGCTTCCGTTTGTGCCTTGCACTAGAGTCAAAAATTGGAATGGCGGACCAGAAATTAAGCAATACAATTAGAAATATTATACATAATTTTTTTTCTTTAAGGCGAGTTTTTGCGCACAGATCATGTGTGGTACACTGCATGTTGCACATGTTGCGCACACATCGTGCAGTGCCTCGCTGAACCCATGTGTACAGTGACAGCAAGGGAGGGGACCAGTAC